CTGGGAAAAAACTGGTCGGCATTGCAGCGTTGTTCCCCGTGCAGCAACACCAGTCATGTTCAAGATGTCACCGTGTCAGCACCAGCAGGAGGGAAGGGGGAGGGGGCGTACCAACGATAAACAGTTGAGAGAGATATGGTGTGTCAGTACATGAGTTAGTGAGATAGATGGGGTGGTGGTGAGGTGGGTGGGCAGGAGGTGGTGGTTAGCATCAGCAGGTGCACGAACCCACACTGCTGGGACGGCTGAGGAGGAGGGATTAGGAAGAAGAGGAGGCTGAGGAGGGAGAAGAGTTATTGGAGTGGTTCCCTGGTCATCCGCTCTACACACTCCCAACGGGGGTCACACTTATCACCATCACCACCTTACTCCTGCCTCACCTGTAAACCCTGACTCCTCCCTCCTCCTCCCCCCTTCCCCTCCCTTCTCCCTCCTCCTCACTGCTTTAAATCGTCTATAATTCCTCCACACACAACTCACACAGGTAATGAATGTATAATGTATTTTTTCTCAGCTTCAGGGAGAGACGTGATGTTCTCAACTTTAATCTCACGTTCACTGTTAAAATGTCTGTCGCGTACACTGAGACTAAAACTAACGTACACACACACACACACACACACACACACACACACACACACACACACACACACACACACACACACACACACACACACACACACACACACACACACACACACACACACACACACACACACACACACACACACACACACACACACACACACACACACACACACACACACACACACACACACACTCTCTACTTGTCTCCCTTTTTTCCCTCTTCACAGGTGCGTCTTGCCCCCAATTCATCCTAGTCATTGTTGGGTTTTTATTCCTCATTCCTGCTCTGTTTTTTTCCCAGCCAGTGAGCCGTTTTTTCCCAGTGAGCCGTGTTTTTCCTGCCCGTGAACCTTGTTTTTTTCCCCTCTTGTCTGCTCTGGTTTTTCTCAGCTCGTGACCCGTTTTTCTCCCTGCCCGTGACCTGTGTTTTTTCTTCTCCTGTACGTTCTGTGTTAAGAGGAAGGTTAGTATGCATTACCTTAACCAACCCGTGCGTGATTCATGCTCTCTTCCTCCCTCCCTACCTCTCCCCCCCCCTTGGGCTCACAGGTTCCCCACAATACTTTGATCCACCATCTGCCTCAACCACCACCTGCACACACACCTTGATCCACCATCTGCACACACCCTGGTTCACCATCTGCATACACCTTCACCACCATCTGCACACACCTTGTCCACCACTGCTCATCACCTGCCCCACCATCTGCACACACCTTGGTCCACCACCTGCTCATCACCTGCCCCACCATCTGCCTGCCAACTAGCTCCCATCACCTAGCCCCCATCCACTACCTGGTCCCTCCTCCCCCCATGTGAGGCAACAGTCGGTTAAGTCCACATATTTTTCCAAGACGTTGGACGAAATCAGGATTGCACGGACACCCACCAATTAATTACCAACAAGCCTGATCGCCCAGTCATGCAACACCTCCCTCTCTCCTCCAACACCCCATCACCACCTCCTACACCCCACCATCACCTCCTTCACCCTCACTTCCACCACCACCCACACCTCCACCATCTACATATCTCCTGTCAACAAAACTAGAACGCAATTATCGCTCTCTTACATTAGGTCCAGGCTCGGGAGGCGTGTACAATAACATCATCCTTGGCGTCGTCATCAACACCATCATGAAAGGCAATTAATTAGTGGCGTCGTACCAAAAAATAAAGACGTGAATGTAAGCCGGAAAAAAACCCACGATATACAGTACAGTCTCTCTCTCTCTCTCTCTCTCTACGCTGAAAGAGAGGCCTTGTAAGTCATCCTCCACGCTTCAGCATCAAATTATCCCCATGAATAGTGATTCCTTTCTTACTCCAAGTGAGACGAAAACAAAAACACCTTCTTGTTACGCCCATCTTCTTTCCGCTACACCGAGCTACACATCATAATAGAGTGTTCTGTAAGGAATCTGGCAGGGGGGGAAGGGGCGTGTTAGTGTCTTGGAATGGGGTGGAGTGCGAGGACCAGTGTAGGGTAGAGGGTAGGGGAGGGTGGTGATGCAGGGAGGGAAGGGTGAGGCAGGGGAGGAAAAGGTGTGGCAGGGGAGGAAAAGGTGAGGCAGGGGAGGAAAAGGTGAGGCGGGTGAGGCAGGGTATGGAAGGGTGAGGAAGCAGGGCAGGTCGGGGTCGGCAGGGGAGAGGCAGCTTGCATACAGATCAGCTCCAGCCTCACAGATAGCATCTTAATAGCCAGTATCTCGACCAAGGCGGAGTGAACGGGGTCATAAGGCGTGCCCCGGGGCCCACCTACCTTACTCTAGTAGAACTCTCTCACTATCCACAGGAGAAAATTGGAGACCAGAATTAAAAGACGGAGGTGACAAGGAGAAGCTGTTTAGGTGCAAGAGATGAGCATACACAGCATGATTACACAGCACCAGCACAGCACCCCTCTGCACAACACCAGCACAGCATCCAGCCTTCAGCCGTCACAGTGCGTAGAACAGCCCCAGGAGGCCATCTTAAGCCTGTCTTGGTGTTGCTCTATACCACACTACGCCGGCAGTCCACACCTGTCATCAACCTTAACTACCACCAACACCAACCACCATCCTCACCACAACCACCAACACCAGCCACCATCACTACCACCACCACCACCATTACAACTACCTTATTCTATACCGCACTATGGGAACATTATGGGGCAATATTTAAGACATGAACCAGGCAAGAGAGTGGTTCACATTTACCCTACATAGAATGACCCCCAGAGTAAAGGGTTGACAAGGGAACTACCACCACATCCAATTCCCTCCCCCCACACACACAAGAGAAGGAGGGGGGAGCTGAGAGGGGGGAGCTGGGGAGGGGGGAACTGGGGGAGGGTCGACTCCAAGGACGCACCATTCTCCTCTGCCTTCCATTATTTTTCATGTTTTCCTCCACAACATTCCACCATCACCACCTCCACCACCACCTGCACCGTCAATTGCCTCACCCACCAACACCATCTGCCATACCACACCTGCACCACCTGCCACACCCACCACGAAAACCACCTAACTCACCCACCTGCACCACATCAATTGTCTCACCCACCAGCACCATCTGCCTCACCCACACCACCTGCCTCAACCTCCACCACATGCTACAAAAGGAGAGCATGGTAACTTGATTGGTGAGGAAGCGTCAATGTGCCTCTTCCTGGCGTTAAGTTATACCTGAGCCATCACCCCTTGGTAACCGCAAACAACCTTGCCTGCCACCTTCCTCCTCATACAGGCACCACCAAGCTATACCATTAATTCCGACAACCATTGATCTTCTCACACACACACACACACACATCAAGTGTTTGCTCTTAAACGCCTGGGAACATTACGCTCCCCAGCTCATAAATCCTCTAAAGGTACAGCCAGACCTTCCCCAGCCTTAGTTTATGAGATATACGCATAATACACCTTAGAGGCAGACATATTAAAGAATTTCTCCCCTCTCTCTCTCTCTCTCTCTCTCTCTCTCGAAATAATTAAAAAAAACTGGTGTATTTCCTCAAGTTTACAGATTCCCGCATCAGTTCAGGAAAGGTAACAAGCTTTCACTTCTCTTTCACGTTCTCCTCAAGGAAAAAAAAAAAAACTTCCATCTCTTCAACGGTTAACAAGTTTTCATTCACGTCTCCGTAAAAAGAAAAAGAAAAAAGAAAAAAAAAGAAGCACCATTTTTAACATCTCGAGTTAGATAGCAAGTTCTCACGTCTCCCTCAACAAAAGTTAGACCGTCACAGGGATTAAAAATTACAAGTTTTACACATAAGTTGGAAGTTAAGGATCGTCGTCTACCGGTACCTGAGGACTCGAGTAGAGTTTCCCTACCCACCTATCCACTCTCTTCCTGTCGTAAATGAGTTCAATTCTCCTTTAGACACACATGCAGCATTGAAGCACAACTCCAAGGGTGTAAATAAGGTCAATTAATTATCATAGTTTACTAGTAACAACTGTGTAGGTTTGGATAAGGAGCTGTAGATGAGGATCACAGACTTGAGGACGAACTTTAAGACCAAGGGGAGGAGGAGGGGCGGATGGGACCGAGACCAACTTATAGAGTGAGTCCAAGACGGGAGACCCATACACATACTGTAACTCCAGATCAAAAACACTCTAAAACACACAAACAGGAGACCAAACACACACAAACAGGAGAGCAAACACACACAAACAGGAGAACAAACACACACAAACAGGAGACCAAACACACACAAACAGGAGACCAAACACACACAAACAGGAGAGCAAACACACACAAACAGGAGACCAAACACTCAGAAAACCCCCAAAAAAAAAACAAAAAAAAAAGATCAAACACACAAACAGATGACCAAACATACAAAAAAGGAGACCAAACACACTAAGAGGAAACCAAACACCGACACAACCTGGCCTCCAACTATCACTCCATGACACCAACCAACGATGATTCTCCTCAACAAACACACAAGCTAAGAACAAGTAGCATTTACCTGCCCCCACCTGCAGGTACCCACCCCACAACACCACTAATGATAATCAGGTGAGAGGGAAGGTAAAATATCAGAGGCACAAGACAACCACATTACCGTAGTCTCCTGTATAAATAACATCCTGAAGACTAACCCCATAAGATCACGTGAGAGAAATATTTATATACCAGTACATATTAATTGTTTACCCAAAATATACGGAACACCTAAAGAGTAGTTCCCGTAGTTTATATCACCTGGAGATTAGTCCCCTAATTTATTTTACCTTAAGATTAATCACCCAATCATTAGCTTTATGATTAATCACCATAACGCTTACTTACCTTCACCCCCAGGTAAGGATGGTTAATCTACAGGTGATATAAGCTAGGGGGTGTCTATTCTTCAGATGGTCCAAATATACATAGAACAATATAGTGTCTTGGGGGTCACTTACCTGAGCTACTGTCCTCGGATTTCTGGTGATCCTGAGGCGGCGATCTCTTCTTCCTATCCGGAGGCGCTGTTCTCTTCCTGGCTGTCTGCTGTTTCCCCGGCTGTCTTCTCTGTTGCAGCGACTGTTGTTGCTTCCTGGGCGGTGTGGAGCCTTCCTTCCTGGGAGTGGGTGAGTCTTCCTTGACGTCTTTCTGTTGACAGTTAATCGGTGGTTCCTTGTCCTGTTTCGCTACGTTTTCTTTCGCCTGTCTGGACAAGTGTTCTTTCGCCTGTCTGGTTATCTGCTCCTTGATCTGCTGAGGTAACTGATCTTTGACTCTCTGTGGTAACTGGTCCTTGATCTGTCGTGAGAGCTGTACCTTGAGCTGTCTGGAGAGCTGAACCTTGAACTTCCGTGGCAGCTGATCTCTGAGTTCGGCCTCGGGGTCCTTCTTCGTCAGCCGCGTTGGTTCTTTCGTCGGCAATGGCGGCTTCTCCTTCGTCTCTTCGTGTCTCTGTGGGGGTGACTGTTCCTTCACGAGTGGCGGCGAGACACGTTCCTTAGTTGGAGGCTCTGAAGGTTCTCTCGTTAGTTCTGTGGCAGGAGGCTGTGTTAGCTGTTGTTCCTCAGGTAGCGGTTCTTTGTTTTCCTTCTTCAGGTGATCGCTCGGTGGTTCCTGCTTGACCTGTTCCTCCTCGGGTGGTAATGGCGAGTGCTTCTTTACCTGTAGCTGCTGTGAATGTTTCTTGACTTGCTGGAGTTGTTCGTTTGCTTGCTGCTGTTCCGGTTTTTGTGGCAGTTGTTGTTGCTTCTTTATTTGTTGTTCCTGTTCCTCCTTTACCTGCCGGAACTGCTGCTGCTTTTTTAACTGTTGTAACTGCTGCTCCTTGGCGTGTTCCTTTTCTTGTTTAATCTGCTGTTCCTTGACTTGTTGTAGCTGTATACTCACTTGTCGCAGCTGCTGTTCCTTGAAGTCCTCTCTCTCTTGTTTCAATTGTTTATCGTTTACTTGTTCTTGTTCTTGTTGGACTTCTCTTACTTTCTCCTTTTCTTGCTGCACTTGTTGCTTTTGTTGCTGTTCTGTTATTTGTTCCAACTCTTGTTCCTTTATTGGATCGAATTCTTCTTTCTCTTTTAATTGTTCCTGTTCTTGTTTTAACTTTAATTGTTCCTTTTCTTGTTTTAACTTTATTTGTTCCTTTTCTTGTTTTAACTTTAATTGTTCCTTTTCTTGTTTTAACTTTAATTGTTCCTTTTCTTGTTTTAACTTTAGCTGTTCCTTTTCCTGTTTCAATCGCAACTGTTCCTTTTCTTGTTTCAATTTTAACTGTTCCTTTTCCTGTTTTAACTGTTCCTTTAATTGTTCCTTTTCTAGTTTCAATCGTAACTGTTCCTTTTCCTGTTTTTGTTGCTCCTTTTCTTGTTTTATTTTTAGCTGTTCCTTTTCCTGTTTCAATCGCAACTGTTCCTTTTCTTGTTTAAATTTTAACTGTTCTTTTTCCTGTTTTAACTGTTCCTTTTCTAGTTTCAGTCGTAGTTGTTCCTTTTCCTGTTTTAACTGCTCTTTTAACTGTTCCTTTTCCTGTTTCAATCGTAATTGTTCCTTTTCCTGTTTTAACTTTAACTGTTCCTTTTCCTGTTTCAACTGCTCTTTTTCCTGTTTCAATCTTAACTGTTCCTTTTCCTGTTTTAACTTTAACTGTTCCTTTTCCTGTTTTAACTTTAACTGTTCCTTTTCCTGTTTTAACTTTAACTGTTCCTTTTCCTGTTTCAATTGTTCTTTCAACTGTTCCTTTTCTTGTTTCAGTTGCTTTTCCTTCGACTGTTCCTTTTCCTGTTTGAGCTGTTCCTTTATTTGTCGCAGCTGCTGTTCCTTTGATAGTTCATTCTCTTGTTTCAGCTGGTGTTCCTTCGCTTGCCGCAACTGCTGCTTCTCCTTCGTCTGCAGCTGCTGTTGTTGTTGTTGTTGTTGTTGCTGTTGTTGCTGCTGCTGCTGCTGCTCCTGCTGCTGCTGTTTCACGTGATGTAGCTGTACCTTCACTTGCTGCAGCTGAAGCTCTCGTATTTGCTGCTCTTCTTTTAACCGTTGCTGCAGCTGTTTCTTTTCCTCTCCTCCTCCTTCTTCTTCTTCTTCTTCTTCTTCCTCCTCCTCCTCTTCTTCTTCCTCCCCTTCTTTATCTTCTGACTCTTGTGGGGATGAGGAAGGCTTTTCACCCTCCTTGTCTCCGTGAGTGGTGGCAGTGGTGGTAGTAGTGGTGGTGGTTGTGGGTGGCGAGGGGACGTGGGTGGTGATAGCTGGGTGGGTGGTGACGGTTGACAGGTGGGTGGAGGTGGTGGTGGTGACGGTGGTGGCGGTGGTGGGCGGCGGGAGGTTGTTGTGGTGGTGGTGGTGGTGGTGGTGATTGGTGGTGGTAGTGGTGGTGGTGGTGACGGGTGTGGTGTGGGCGGGCGCGGGCGGGAGGGTGTGACTGGCGTTTGGGTGAAGGTTGTTGGGTCGACTGAGGGAGTTCTTGCGGGGCCTCACAGGTAGGACGCCATCACGACGGATATGCCGCACCTGAAAAGACACAAAGAAGTACGCCATTAGTATAAAGTAAGCTCAAATGTGTACAAGACCACACTATCAATAGACCACAACTTCAATATGTACACCCCAAGCTCAAAAGGTACACAGTGGTACACCCCAAGCTCAAAAGGTACACAGTGGTACACCCCAAGCTCAAAATGGACACAGAAGTACACCCTAAGCTCAAAATGTACACAGAAGTACACCCTAAGCTCAAAATGTACACAGAAGTACACCCTAAGCTCAAAAGGTACACAGTGGTACACTATCAATACACCTCAAGCATAAAATATATACACAAGAGTACACAATCAGAACAGAAGCTCAGAATATACACCGGGATATGTATACCTCAGTACAGCTCAATTAGTATATTACCAACTTAATACAAACAATTAGTACACCTACTACACCTTTAACACCGTCAGAGTTGTTATTAACCTCAAGAAACACTGTACACAGGAGACTCAGCCACTACCCTACACCCTACCAGTAACTTACAAACGTTCCACACGCTACACACTTACACACACGTTAAACACTTATACACACACGCACACACGTTATACACTTACACACGTTACACACTTACACACGCTACACACTTACACACGTTACACACTTACACACGCTACACACTTACACACGTTACACACTTACACACGTTACACACTTACACACCACAATACTCAAGGTGACCCCCAATGTTATGTTGATTCTCTCCTTGGCGCGACAAAAAAAATGGCCGACGTAAATATTAAAGGTGAGGGAGGTTTTGTGTGGATGGGGAGGTTTTGTGTGGATGGGGAGGTTTTGTGTGGATGGGGAGGTTTTGTGTGGATGGGGAGGTTTTGTGTGGGTGGGGAGGTTTTGTGTGGATGGGGAGGTTTTGTGTGGATGGGGAGGTTTTGTGTGGGTGGTGAGGTTTTGTGTGGATGGGGAGGTTTTGTGTGGATGGTGAGATTTTGTGTGGATGGTGAGGTTTTGTGTGGATGGTGAGGTTTTGTGTGGATGGTGAGGTTTTGTGTGGGTGGTACAAACTAATCCAACCCTTCACAAACGAACGCAACTCTCCAAAATACAACAAAATATACAAAAATAATACAAAAACTACAGGATGTTACAAAAGAGAGAGAGAGAGAGAGAGAGAGAGATACGTTAGAAGGTCATTGTCACTATAACACAGATAACAACGGGATGCGTATATAAACAGATAACAATAGGTCGCGTATATAAACAGGACGACCAAGAGGATGTTAACGAGATAAAGAGTAGCACAGAATAAATGACGATAACGTAATTGAATTAGATTAGTGTTTTGTCGTTGTAGAGGTCGTCAACGGTTCAGGTTTTGGGGGAGTTTTTGAATCGAGTGACAGTTAACATTTTGAAGTTTGAATTTAGTGACAGTTAAGATTTTGAAGTTTGAATCCAGTAACGGTTGATATTTTGACTTTTGAACACAGTAACAGTTAATTTAACCGTCCCAACTAACTTTTCGGATCCGGTTTAATTCTTCTTATAAAAAAAATGTTTCATTTGTCTCATAAAAGGATAATCATTAACTCAACACACTTAATTACCTTTGACCTTACTTGACCTATTCACATATCTTGAAACCATTAATCTCTAACTACATTTGTGAATCATTAACTCGGCCTTAATTAAGCTTTAAACCTATTTGTAAATCATTAAACTCATGTCAGAACACATTTGTAAATGATAATCAACTCATGTCAGAACACCCTTTGTAAATGATAATCAACTCAAGTCAGAACACCTTTGTAAATGATAATCAACTCATGTCAGAACACCTTTGTAAATAACTATCTCTACCTTATATAAAACACCTTTGTAAATAAGATCTTCCTCTACCAACACATTAACATTCACTGCAGCAACTGGAGGACCCACTGTGGTGTTCTATTGTATGTTGTATTATTATTCATGGGAGGTAATTAGCGGGAGGCCTTGAGAACTTAACCTCCTGGCCTCTTTACCTTAATACCCGACCTCCTCAAGTGTCGCATTGGCCTCTCTATCTCAATACCCGACCTCCTCATACTCCCCCTTGGCCTTTCTACTTTAACACCCGACCTCTTGGGCTCCCTACCTCAACTGCCGACCTCCTCAAGCCTTCATTAACCTCTCTCTACGTCTACCTCAACAGCCAACCTCCACATACTCCCTCTCTACCTCAATGTAGGGTGATAACTACTGGATAGAAAATGTAGAAAGAAGAAGAAAACGAAGAAGAAGAAGAAGAAGAAGAAGAAGAAGAAGAAGAAGAAGAAGAAGAAGATAAGAACATAAGAATGGAGGAAACTGCAGCGGGCCTATTAGCTCATACTGGGCAGTCCCGTTTACACCCAGCCCCTATTGCTCATATATCCATCCAATCTATGTTTGAAGCTATCCAGCGTATTCGAGTTAATGATGATATTTGGTAACTTGTTCCAGTCGTCCACTACTCTATTTCCAAACCAATGTTTACCTATTTCGCGCCTAAATCTAAATTTGTCTAATTTAAAACCATTGTTACGATTTCGCTCCTGGTTGGATAGTTTGAGTACCTTTGTAATGTCCCCTTTGTTTAGCCCTGACTTCCATTTATACATCTCGATCATGTCGCCCCTCGCTCTACGTCTCTCGAAGGAGTGCAAATTAAGATGCTTTAACCTGTCTGTACTCAAGGTTCCTAATGTCCGGGATTAGTCTTGTCATTCTCCTCTGAATTCTTTCCAAGAAGAAGAAGAAGAAGAATTCCAGGTATCACCGCCAAAGTCACGGAAACTCGGGAAGTAAGACTCTGCAAGATGCACAAGTTAAATGTCTAATTACAACTTTGCAAACTTATCTCTCTCTCTCTCTATTGATAACTTTCTATCTCTCTCAACGGTTAACTTTCTCTCTTCAGTTCACTTTCTTACTCTCTCTTTCTCAACGCTATTCTCTCTCTCTCTCTCTATCCCTCTCTCTCTCTCTCTCTCTCTCAACGGTTAACTCTCTCTCTCTCTCTCTCTCTCTCTCTCACCCAACACCCCTCCTCTACAATGTCAACATAATTTGCATACCGAGAGAGGAAAAATGCTCCCCCATAGAGGGTGTCAGCCAGCGTGAGTGGTGTTTACTTTGCTGAGTTCTGTTAGGGGTCATTAAGAACTCTTCAGAACCTCTTCCCTTGATAAAACCCCCATTAACATCAAAGGAGGGGGGTTCACAAGGCTACTTAATGAACTCTTAGAAGTATGTATGTATGTGTGTATGTGTGTATGTATGTATGTATGTATGTATGTATGTGGCGTGATTCGTCTGTATGTATATCTTCTTAGTATTTTGTATGGAGAGAGAGAGAGAGAGAGAGAGAGAGAGAGAGAGAGAGAGAGAGAGAGAGAGAGAGAGAGAGAGAGAGAGAGAGAGAGAGAGAGAGAGAGAGACGGCCTTCACTACTTCAGGAAAAAAATAAGTCGTCTTTTTCATCTCTTCCCCCTAAAAAAAAAATCAATTTCAGACAACTAAGAACAATACCTCGTCTTTAAAACCAACCTAAACCTCGTCCTGAAAACCCCTAAACCATAAACCCATCATTAAAACCAAAACAACAGTAATATAAAACAAGAATAATATTAATAAAACAACAACATCAACTACTACCAAGACGATGATGATGATGGTGGTGGAGGAGAAGAGGAGGGGAGGGAGGAGACGAGGGGAAGGGGTGGGTAAGGAAGGAAGAGGGGTAGGAGAAGGTTGGGGGAGTAGGTAGGGTAGGGGAGGTGAGGAGGAGGGGAAGGAGAGGTGGGGTAAGGGGGAGGGGGGGTAGCGGAGTGATGTTTACATTGTGCGTTCGGTATCGGAAATCGAAGGCCCCCACGTACGGGAAGGGCGAGCTTGATGTTTGTAACTCAGTGGAAATCAATGCTGCATTCTCCTTCCTCTTCCTCCTCCTCCTCTTTCGCGCCGCTTGTTTGTATTGTGTGGGTGTTTTGTTTTGTGTGTTTGTATGTTGTTTGTGTGTTTTTGTGCAGTGTTTTGTATGGTTGTGATGTGTTTTTGTGTATAGTTGAGTTTTGATTTTGAGTGTGTGTGTGTGTGTGTGTGTGTGTGTGTGTGTGTGTGTGTGTGTGTGTGTGCGTGCGATACAAACCTCTTTTATCTATTTTCTTATTCCTTAACACACACACGCACACGCACACACACACACACACACACACACACACACACACACACACACACACACACAGCATTACTAACTAACATCCTTCACTTTTAAAATAATAATAAAACACACAATAAAAAACTCTTAAAACACAAACCTCATTTTCCTTAATAACATAAAAGAAAGAAATGTGTTCATTCTTCTCTCACCCTCCAGGGATTCTCTTTAAGGAGGTCCCGCTCACACACAATATCCTTCTCTCCAACCTCCTCCTCCTGCTCCTCCTTCCTGACCTCTTTCTTCCTTTCTTCTTCTTCTTCCCGATCTCCTCCTCCTTCTCCACCGTCTCCTCTTCCTTCCCCTCCTTCTTCACCCTCCTCCTTCTCCCCCTACTTCTTCCCGATCTTTTTCTCCCCCACCCCTGCTTCCCTCTTCTTCTCCAACTTCACTGCCTCCTCCTCCTCCTCCTTCTCCACCCGCTGGTTTACCTTACCAGCCCACACGTCTAACCCATTATCTGCCGGGACAGGCGTGGTGAGGCTCTGGGTACAAGTGGGGCGTGTGTGGTGAGAGGTGGCGGTGGGGTGGGTGTAGGGTGGTAGTGGTGATGATACGTCGTGGTGGGGGGGTGAAGGTGAGGGGGGTAGGTGGTGGTGAGTGGTGGCGGTACTGGTGGTGAGGGGGTTAAGGGAGGTAGTGGTGGTGAGGGGTGGTGGTGGTGAGGGGGTGGTGGGTGAGGGGGTGGGGGAGTGGTGGGTGGGGCAGGAGAGGTGAGGTGAGGGTGGTGGTGGTGATGGTGATGAGGGTAGTGGTGGTGGGGTAGTGTGGTAGT